GTTTCACTCGGTTTAAAACAAGCAAAGGAGCAGGCAGGAACTCTGCAGTAGGCATTGATAAGCTTGTTGTGGAAGAAACCGTCTGATCGGAGTTCTTTTGAGAGACTCATGTGTAGATTTCGGAGTTCGCTGATTAGGATCTGAAGAGACTCTTCTGTTAATTTTTCTGCATTTTCTTTCATTTCCAATCCCAGGTTTAGCTCGTCCCATCTTGCAAGTCTACTTCTTTTATACTTTGCACCCTCGAAGTAGTTCTTGTTGTAATAAAACAGAACTGCATCAGTATCAATGCAGGATCTCTGTCAGTGCACTACTACATGTAACTCTTAATTCACTTGTAACTAGATTCCATGTTTAATGTAGTCACGTCTATTTCTTGTCTTAGTCGCGGGGGTTCACTAAAACACAAGGCTAAACATCATTTGGATAAAGTTGTCAAGTTGAGACATTGGCAAGTACCTCATCAATCCCCCAACTTTCGTCATACCAAGTTTGATTCCTGTATATAGATGTAGTCTCTCCTACCTCCAGAGATCATCAGTTCATTGTATTAACTGAATATCTATGAAGGCTATATTCATTGCTCCTCTCGTCAACTCCACAGCTTTACATCTAAAGCCCCGTTCACCTGCTCCTGTTCTCGAATACCACTCTTCCTTCCTCTCCAACAGCCCGAAATCCCTCTCAATCTTTAACCTCACAACAATTCTGTGTAGTATGATACATTACATCGAAGTTACGTGTTAATTTATTTGATGCTATATTTGCATAGCAGTAGTTGTATGCGGCATCACTTAGCATCGTTGGGTATGCTTTTGCTCGGATGCGATCTGGAATATCCGCTCTTTCACAGTTATCGAGGAAGATTGCCAATTTGAAGTTAAAGCTGTCTTGTTCTCCCCGGTATTTCATTTCATTGTCATACATTCTGGCCAAATCTGCAAGTTCTTTGCCATAACCTTGATCTTGGCTTGAATTTTGTTAAGGCTTATTGTCTGGACTATAGAGATCTTGCTTGAGGTCTTGTTCTGGAATATATTTACAGGAGGGACTTTTGGTGAATGCGTTGACATAGTTTTTGTCGAATTTTGTTTCCTGTGGTAGAAGTTTGACCTTTGTATTCATAATTGGGGCTATTTTCTTTGAAGAGAAGGCCTTGTTTGACGAAGATATCTCTTCAAGAGTTCACTCAGTTGGGTTTTCTTCTATGACAACATTGTAGAGGGGCTTAGCTATTGTGGTATTTCTGTCCTGTTTCACTCATACCTCAAAATTTCTGAGGTGGGAATGGAGGGCGTGTTCAAGCGATAGTTTAGCAAGTTTGAAGTCCTCATTTATGCAATTGGAGAAGTCATCCTTGAACGCCTCCCAAAATTTGTCGTCCTTGAACTTGTACTTATGGTATAGTGTAATCTTAGATTCCATTATAACGTTTATTGCGTTTGCTACTGCTGCTGTTCTTGTTGCTGTGGTTTCGGACTTATTTATTGGATCAGACATTTTGAGATAGGATAAGTTAAGGTAGTCGGTATTTGGAGGGGTTTGTTATACGTGATGGATGCAAATCGAGGGCCTTTGGCAGGGGTCGATCTCTTGAGTATATCTTCGAAGGTGAGGGCCTTGCAAAAGGAGTCAGCCATAAATTTAAACTCCTTAGCAAATAAAATCAAATAGAGGCCTTTGTCAGGGACTATGCAATTGGATCCCTCTTCAAAGGGTGTATCTGATCTATACGTCTACTGATCAGTGTGGGAACACTACCAATGGTCAATTCACAAGCTTATGTGGGGCAACTCTATCCATTCCTATCTCTTCTCTCTATGGGGAGGAATTCTATAAATACATTGTTGCCTTTTTCTAAACGCTATTCCCTATAAGGAAAGGTCTCAACTCGACCCTTATACACAACATTTTGTGAGCCAGTTCACACAGAGAGTCAATGGAAGCAGAGTGTATTTGTGGGGTGGTTTCTCTTAGCTTAGCTGCCCACCAATTTGACCATAGACAAACTGATTTTGTCTGAGGAGGGTATTTGAGAAATGAAGCCGATGTTTGTGTGAAAGAAATTAAATTTCGAATTGCTTTCAGCCATTGATTCCAATTTGATTGCTTCGGAGTTGGGATTGGAGTCATTTCATCAATGCTTTCCAGATGTGCTGTGAGCGTGTACAATTGAGTTTTCTTGGCAGATAACTTTATTGATCCTCGGGCATCTGGAGACGTGGCAAATTGTATTTTGCCGACGATCATGTCCTCCTCTTTGTCTTTTGACGCTGTATTGTAGGCGTCTGTGATTGCCTTCGTGGAGGGTTTTGATGATGAGTCCGACATGAAGTGCGGGAATCGCTTCAATGATCGAGGATTATCGTGGAGAGGGAAGCAAGTAACCAAGGTTGTGCGATTAATTCACGGAAGCTGTGTTAACAGTGGAAGTGACAAGGGCCATAACCTGTAGTGAAGAAGCATGAAGATTTCATTGTGTTCTGACTAGCTAATTATTATGTACTACAGTGCAGCTAACACTATGAACACAAGCAAACGATGGAAGATGTTGTGATCTGCCTCCTGGTGGTGTTCTCTGGTATGGTTTGAGTAGCCTGGGCACCTACTCCACTTGGGAAGAAGACATCTCAGATTACATTTCGCGCGGAGAAAATATGATGGATGACAGAGGCATGTCTGAGTAACTCGGGGTTTTTGAGACGTTCCCCTGGGTGGATATTCACGGATGAGGGTTGACTTGGGGTGAAGAAAAAGCCACCATAACTTCGCAGTGGTACTTGCAAATGAAATCTGAGGCTTGAGTACTCTTCTTGTAAATTGAATCATCTTTTCTGTACTTTTCTTTGATATTTTGTTAGAGCTAGATAGCTGCATACGTAATTAAAATCTGATGACAAAGAAGAAAAAATATTATTGTTAGGATAATTGAGAAAATGGAGTAACAGTGGCAAAATAAGATAGAGGGTAAGATGCGGTATGTAGAGAATATGTACAGTAGTGCAGTAAGAATAAGTGAAAATATGTGTGTGCCAAATACAGAGGGTGAGGGGGGTTAACCGAATCACCTAGCTGACTAAGCTGCATTTTCCAACAATTATGTACTGTTACAGTGCATCACGTGATATGCGTCATTCTAACTCTACACAACTTCTACTTTCGTTCCATAAATATTGCGCCCATTTCATTGCGCGATATTTCCAACAATCAGTCGTCATCATGTCACAATCTTACCTCTCCAGCTAACGATACGAGAGCCATTTGCAGATATGCAGCTGCTAGGAAAATGCAAAAACCTAACGGGCGCAGGACTTTCACATTATCAGATGAGGTCTGAATTAAAAGAAATAACCACTATTGTGCTGGTTCAATTGAATGATTTGGCAGCAGGGGAAGGAAGGACGGTCTAGTGCATTAGGGAAGGGTGGAAAATATAGGCTTATGTGTAGACGCTGTTCATGTACTTTACAATCTCTTCTTCAGCCGATTTAAGTGAGAAATTTATCCATATTATATTAAACTTCATCATCCATTAGATGGTGTTATCAATCGTCGGGATGCACATCTAGCATCACCTTCATAGATCACCATTGTCAGTACGGGTTCACATTTGATACCTACTGATACCTATTGGCTACAGTGATACGCACTCAGTATCCACAGTGCCATCAAGCCAGCGTGAGCGCACCATCTCAGCGACTCACCATTGCACACGAGCCCGAGCCGACCCACCGAAAGACAGCAGAGTAATTAAATTGCTACATGCTTCTTAACTCAAAACCGCAACAGCTACCCATCTGAAGCATTCAAAGAGCCCGAGCAGCCTTCGGCAGCAGACATGTGTAAACTCAAGGGCCTCTCTCTCATTTCTCCATTAATACATACCGCAGGACAAACCGAAGTTTATGAAAACTTACTGAGAAGTATGGTTGACTAGTATCTGGAAGTTATCACGGAAGCGAAGTTATCGAAAACCCCGCATTGTTTGGGTGCCATTTTAGCAGGTAGATTCGGAAGTTGGAGTAAGTAAAGAGGCTGATGTCTACGTGTCGGGTTCTGTTTTTTTGAGGGCGCAACGGTCTCTTACTTTGATCTTCGGTGGGTAGCATTTATTGGGGTATTGCCATGAAATATTTTGGAAAAGAGGGGTGATGGACGAGGTCAAATCTGGATGATTACATCGTCTTTAAATAGAAAATACTTTCTCCTATGAGCTTATTAGAGTTCTAGAGGCACTTTGGAATGAAAGATATGAGTGCTGAGTATCACGTCAAAACTACAGGAATCATGGGAAGTGATGAATTGGAAACTTTCGGGTCATATTTTAAGATTAGGATCAGCCTATTTATTTTTATTGCCCTCAACAGAGAAGATGTTACCCATTTACTAATTGTTTGTTTGTTCTATCTCGCTATGGTAGAAAAGTTTGTGTTGTGATGTGTGGTGGAATTAGACTCCCACTACCGAGATCAACACCGTATTAAACTTCATTAAGACTTGTAGCGTACGAAAATGAGTTACCTTGGCAAGCTCTATTTTATGTAAAATTCAGCGTATTATTTCCAAATTTTAACAAGCCTAGCCAGAGATATCTATATTCAATCGCGTGTACTCGTTTCTGAATTGGTAAGCGTTATAACGATATTACCCACAACTTGACCAAATACCTTTGACATGTACAACAAGGAATTCTTGAAGTAACATTGTAAAGTTTGGTTCCATAATATCTATCCCTTTATAATGCATTATTATTTTCGTCTAGGCCATCGTAGATGTGATTGGAATGAGGTTTTTGAAGGAGGGCAAAATAACTCAAATCTAAACTGGGAAGGTGTGACTCAACGACAACTTGATGAAATTTATTTGTACAGCTGCAGTCAAATCTATTCCGCTATTTCTGACAATACTCCTACAACTTATAGTCTCTACCCATTGAAAATCTCTTATATTTCACAATTAGATTACTATAAATCATGAATTGCTTCAGAATCGAGAAGATTATGAACTGCTCAAATCCTACCGATCTCCTTCCTATCGGGTGGAAGAGGCAAGTTGCTGCTTGGTTTGCCGAGGACTGTCCACCTTTTGACTACACAGGATTTTTGGTTGATGATGTGGCATCAATGACGCTTTATGCAAAGACATGTGGTATCCTCGCCGGTGTACCATTTTTCACTGAAATTTTCGCCCTCGCAGATTGTAAGGTGGAATGGCTCTTTCCTGAAGGCGATTACATGCCCATCGACACCGGAGGCGAAATTGCTATCGCGATAGTGACAGGATCGGTACGCAAGATTCTCCTAGGTGAAAGGATAGGACTCAATTTACTCAGTCGAAGCTCGAGTATTGCGACAATGTCGGGAGCTACAAGGCTTACATTCGATTTTTGTGCATTTAAACACGTAATGATCGTGGATCAGACAGCTCCGGGCTTCAAGCTTGTAGAGAGTTACGCCATGAAAATTGGAGGCATACAACACTATGATCAGGATGCTTCGGTGATGATTATGTTGAGTAAAAATCACATTCAAGTGAGCGGCTCGGTGAAAAAATCCATAAAAGCTGCTAAAAGTATATCTGGCGATGCTCTCAGAGTTTGGGTGGAAGTGGATAATGTGAACGACGCAATCCAAGCCGCTATATTAAACGCAGATGTAGTCTTGATGCGATCCATACCATTCAGAACAATAGAAGAAGTAATTGAGGTTGTCAGGGAAAATTTCGTCTCAATCAGCAAGTTTGGAATTGAAGTCAGCCGGTATTTCGAACCAGAATTTAAACTTATTTACGATGGGGATGACATTGATTATCACCCCTTTACGGACAGAAGTATCGATGTTATTTTAATAAAAAATGTTCAGGGTATCCCACGCGTTGATTTCTGTCTTAAGTGGAATAAGTGACGTGGTTATGGCTCGAATTTTCTGTCAAGGTACATTCAATATATTGGTATTAACTAGTGTGTTAGAATTATTTTTTCTGTAAAAAGTGACAAGACAATAGCTCTACGCTACTAGTTCTCTTTACTTTCATGCAGATTCCCAATGTATCCCTTCGGTGAGAAAACCGTTGGTGGTTAAAGATTCCACTTAAAACGTTCCATTTGTTTTCCAATTGAATTATTTCGTTGATGGTGAACACACTCTTCCTTTTGAAGCATCTTAACCAAGATTTTATCTGCAGCTGCGACAAGAGGCTAAATCAGACAGTCTGCAGAAACCTCTGCAGTTGAGATATGTTTGGGATCGAAAAGGCTTTTAGCTTTGTGACTCCAGACAAAGTGGTGTTTCATGTCAATATGCTTGATAAAATTTTGTAACGTGGTTCTGAATGCAATTACTCGTGGATCCTTGATGGAAAGATTTTCATCCACAGTTGCAATCTCGAGATTTTTTGAATCAAAAATTTGGCCCTGGTTTCGGACTAAGCCCCACTGAGCATATAATTTCCAACCACTGAAGAAATTCAAGGAAGAGGGCAGATATAAAACATTTGTTAGGCGTACTCATCGTGTTTTGCTGGAACTGAGCTGGCAATTGAAAGTAGCAGCGTTCGTGGCGAGTGGTTGCAAATTTCACAGTTTGAACATAGAAAGCAAATGAACAATTGTATGATTAAAATATAAAGCTACAAATCATCTACAGGGAAGCGAACTGCCCACAAGTGTCCCATGCTACTCATACAAATTCAGAGGTCTCTAAATATAGGCCATGCTTACAGTGACAAAGAAGGTAACCCTAAGTTTCTTCCATCACATTGGCAACGCTTCCGGCACTCTTGGCACTATCTATTTCGCAGCCTTAGTGGCGACTTTGGATCCGTTCGAGTCAATTAATAACCCTCAGAATGGCAGGAAACACACAAGTTGCCTTCAATGGCCTTCGAATGGTACAGGACTTATCTGCTCACAGGTTGTTTGGATTAGGTTCCAGGCGACTACTCCCAACCCAACAGTGTTACCTCGCAGGCTACTATTCTAATCAATTGAGGGGTCACGACTAGTGTTGGCTGTACTTTCGGGTTGATATAGTGTATTTGATCTCGAGCAGTCACATTTAGTTCTTTTATTGTCCTTTCTCATGCTATGGCTATAGAGCACATGGAGGAGAGTATCACACGTCAAGCAGCCCAATGACTCAAGTGGCAAAACAAGTTGCAAACTAGAGCCACAAAACGATATAACGAACCAAATGCTGTATGCTATATCCTTTCCGGCTAGCTTACTACTTGTATAATTGCGACAAGCATTTCTAGGTTAATCCTACACCTGCGATCCATCTGCACGGAGGGCAAGATTGAACACCTGTATACGGTGCCTTCTACGAACCTGGGAGTGAGATATTCTCCCAGAGCCAAGTTCAGTCAAATTTCGCAATATCAAAGAAGTTGGCCCACGAGGCAATGATTCAAAATGCTCCACCATGTCAAATTTTTACTTCCAACGAGACCGACTCATACCTAAGTCTCATCAAGGTTTACAAGTATGACCAAGTACATCGTCATTCCGATGACCATACCTCTCATCGACTTTCTCCGGCCTCAGCTCGTCACAAAATACACGCCCACACCGATATTTACACCCGACGGAGGAAGCAAAGCGTCGCGCACAAATCTGGGAGATAAATATTTGGTATGGACGTGAGAGGGAACAGGACAAGTTGACTAGATGATGCAAAGGAAGGATACAATCTCGAAGGGCGTGAGATTCCGAATTTTGGCAAGTAGTTTTACGAACTGGGTTTTGTGCGCGCCAAGACTTCGCTTGCGAGAGTGTAGCTGACATTATAAACACAAGCAAATGATGGAAGATGTTGTGATCTGCCTCCTGGTGGTGTTCTCTGGTATGGTTTGAGTAGCCTGGGCACCTACTCCACTTGAGAAGAAGACATCTCAGATTACATTTCGCGCGGAGAAAATATGATGGATGACAGAGGCATGTCTGAGTAACTCAGGGTTTTTGAGACGTTCCCCTGGGTGGATATTCACGGATGAGGGTTGACTTGGGGTGAAGAAAAAGCCACCATAACTTCGCAGTGGTACTTGCAAATGAAATCTGAGGCTTGAGTACTCTTCTTGTAAATTGAATCATCTTTTCTGTACTTTTCTTTGATATTTTGTTAGAGCTAGATAGCTGCATACGTAATTAAAATCTGATGACAAAAAACAAATCCATCTGCACACTTTTCGCACCACCTACCCTCTCACGTCCTAATAGGGAGTGTCATGACGGGAGCAGAAATTGACCACAGGAGGATAGGGGTGAATATGCATCGATCGGATCAAATATGTCTCCGATGACAACAGCCCAACGTGACGATGAGGAGGTGAGTGGTTAGAACAACGCTGGTATCTAAGACAATATGTATATTTCGGAGTAAAGGAGGATGTTAAGGGTCTGTGCGTTTGGTGGTCGAGTTTGAGTTTGATTGCTATTCGTATCATGCATGTGCCCTACACCCAACCGGCGTGGTACGGGTTTGTGATCTCTACAGACTCACTACTACCTAGCCGGCAAAGACGAATTCTTCACCTCCCAGTGGTGCCGGTGTAATCGCTCAGTATACTTTGTATATCAGGGAAAGCCAAGGCGAATCGCATCCGAATCGAAGTCGAAAGCAACCTCAAGCACATCTCCATTTGACGACTTCTCGACAATGCCCCTCTTATTATTCTCATCTGAGTCCTCAACCTCTTTCTAACCACGCATCTTCTCGCCTCAACTATCAATAAAGAAGTTGCTTCAATTGCATACAGGAGCTTGCCCCATTAATTTCCAGCCATCTCCCACTACAAATTTATGACGCTACGTAGACCTGCAAGGAGGAAATCAAGTCGAAAGATACAAAGCCTGGGTCTTGGCTTGTGGGGGACTGCTGCTCTAATGGGACAAACAACTTGAGGGAGAATAGGGGGCTGAGATTTGGAGCGAGAGGGGAACAGGTTTCTGAAGAGCATGCTGAGACTGATATTTTCGAGGAGTTTTCATCTTTGGATTTTTTGTGGCTCAAATACCAAGATCTCGGCTAATTAGCCAGGAGGGCTTCTTTTGTAGATGAGTCAACGGCACTCGCCAGCGCCCTGGACGGCACAAAAGAAGTTGGGCTAAGCTACTATACAGCAATCACGCTCTGTCAAGAAGTTTCTCACATTTCAGCACGACCTTCGGGAAAGAGTTAGAAAGAGTTAGAAAGAGGCTAGAAATGTAGAGGGTGAATTTCCGAGGTACACACAAGTCTGCAGCGCCCAGCCGGCCGTCCTCTTCGGACGCTTCAGAAGGGTCACTATTTCTTCGGACTTAGTCCTAATTTCGGGATTAGAAGAGCCCCGCACCTAGTGGTTTTTGCGATTTTTCCCGGCTGCCATACACCTGCAAATGGCCATGGTTTCGTTGGCTGGAGAGGGGAGATAATGAAGGGCAAAGGGCTCCTCTAAGTGTATGATCGAATGAGGACTTGTGAGGGGTGGTACTGTTTGAGGGAAGCTGTATGGGAGGTATAGGAGGGGATATACTACTGGCATAGGTATCCTTGGCCTGTAGGCAGTGAGGACCTGCATGTCCTACATAGTCATAGACTGAGAAAGAACAATAAAATGAATTAATAATCATCCAGGTGGGACGAGGTTAATTGTAGTTAAATGGTAGTCAACCTGATCTGGGCCCACCTCGAGTGCAGGTGACTCAGTAGTCTCCGCCATGGTTGGATGGTGCAATGATACATTATCTTGGCTGGCCTGAGGCTGTTGGCACAGTTGGTCGGGTGCTGGATGTGCTTTCTAGAAGTGGTAGGTTGGATTCCTACACGGCCTGTTTAAGAGGGGACTACGGGTGCTCGTCGGGAAATAGTGCAGGAGGAATTATTGAGGTTTTCCCACGAAGGTTTTCACTCAATACATGGTCTTAGGATCATGGTGAATGCGTTCCTACCTATTCGACCCGATTTAACTAGCGTGAGGCACATATTTGGAAAAGTCAGGCAATGGATGGGCTTTGCTGGAGAATGGAGGAACTTGTATTCTAGATGTCCTCCATGCGTGTCATGTCCATTGGACGGATAGTTTAAGCCTGGCACGATAAATATAATCATCATGTTGGGTGGTCTACCAAGTAGAGTCTGGATAGCTTGGGCACACATCCCACTCGAGATAGTAGATAGTAGATCGGTGGTTCAAATTCAGCAAAACACAACCACTTTTTTCGCGGCGCTCGTATACATGGATGACGAAGGCATGCTTGGATAACCAAAGGTTTCGAAATTCCCTGTGATGGGTACTAACGGAGGAGGGTCGACTGTTTGTGCAAGCAAGCATACCTCATAGTGGTATTTGCGAATAAAATCCAGAGTATGAGTTTCTCTAACGTCAGAAGAGTCATCCCACTTGTATACATAGCAGCGGTCTTGTGTCATGGCTCTATAGCTGAATACGCTTAAATGAATTTGAAAAAAAAAGCCACGTTCAACTCTTGCTCAAGCTTCACAAAGAGTATGGAGGGTGCCTATTGCCTATCACTATATTATAAAAATAACAATTATCTCAGGTTTTAGGTTGCAATTGTCATGGTCCATATACCAGAATAGCTGAGGTCGCATCGGTAATCTTAGGTTAGACAATCATATAGTTATGGGAAAACTTATCAGCATCCGACAGGCAAGCCAGCGGCGGTAAGATATTTGGAGGAAGGTATTAAGTGCGAAGCAGCACAATTGGAAGGATTCAGTGGCGATATGGGGATAGACCTGGGGCTTTAAGCTTCGAAGTACTACCAAAAAAGGTGTACCGCACGTCGTGGAATTAGTTCCATCTTCATTATTGATTGCGAAGGAGGCCAACTAACACTTTGACATCGCGAACTGTTCTATTCCACTCGGCTATGCCTGAGCAAATAAGTGATATACAGTGTGTGATAAAGTACATCTATACGAAAATGGCACATTGTAAACTCAAAGGGTGAGAGTACCATTTATCGGAGTGTTGGACTATTCTGTATATCTTTCAGCTGTATTCGAATTATTTTAAGCAGCACCATTAAGTTGAGCTTGAGTACATCATTTCTCTCAGGCCACTACAATCTTGTGCCCAACTATGTCTTGAAATGTGGCTTAGATATCTAAATTCAAGACAAGCAAAAATATACATCATCATGTTAGATCGCTACCATAAATAGCTTTGCGCATGAATGAGGGTATAGATGCAGATTAGAGTGCGATCTTGATTTGAAGCTAGATTCACAATTTTAGTTCATTATGGCTTGACATACAAATCAATATATTCGTCAACTGCCATGGCTTCAAATCGCTTGGCATCATTGCCAAGTTCCACAAGTTTCTCCACCTCATCTTTACTATAATGATGACTTAAATGTTTCCTGAATTTGGCCAGTATTTCGGGTTTCGCTTCCTCTCGCCTTACTTTATGACCTAGAGGAGCATGTACAACAACCTCGTCGAGGACTGTACCGTCATTTAGTCTCACAAGGAGGGCGTTTGGAATAGTGCGTAAATTTTCGTCATGATAGTCACGGGTGAATTGAGGATCTTCCACACACTTGATCTTTTGACGAAGAGACTCCACCAGTGGTGAGATGGCTGCTTCGCATCCATCAGTGTAATCACTTGCTTCTAGACGGCCAAAAACCAGCATAACGGCACACATATATTGAATGCAATGATCGCGGTCAGCAAAGTTATCCATCGGCTTGAACTGCTTATCAATTATACGAACGCAAGCTTCATGAGTCCGGCACACCACTTCTTTGATGTCAGCCGCAGATTTACCTAGATCTAACAGCTGCTTGTGGATCTTTTTAGATGCCTCGATCGCTGTTTGGGAATGAAATTCAGCTTGGAGAGATTTAGTAACTTGCATGGTATTACTAGAGAAATCTCACCAGGATATGAAACTTTGAAAAGGACATTCTCCATAACATAGCTACTGTACGGGCGTTGAAACTTGAAATCTTGGCCCTTAAAGGCTACGTCGTAGAACCCCCAGGTAGGTGCGGACAGAACAGAGGGAACTCCAGGCTCGCCTTTCATGACTTTCAAGACAAGATTTACGGCCCGTTGGCACGCGTCACCAGCGGCCCATGACTTTCTGGACATAGTGTTAGGCGAATGTCGGTAGGTTCTTAAGCTCTGGCCATCAACCCAAGCTTGAGAAATAGCATCAGCAGTTTGCTGTTCCGAAAGCCCAAGTAATTTAGAGGTAACCGCGACAGATGCGACCTTGACGAGAACGACATGATCCAAACCAACCTTATTGAAGGAGTTCAAGAGTGCAAGACAGCCCTGGATCTCATGTGCCTTTATCATTGCCTCTAACAACTCTCTTATGGTGATAACTTTTTTCTGGCCAAGGCTTCCACCCGCTCGATTAGTCCGAGAAATCCAGTCCGCAACAGCTAAGATTGCACCGAGATTATCAGAGGGATGTCCCCATTCGGCAGCCAGCCAACAGTCATTATAATCTAACCATCTTATCATAGCACCGATATTGAATGCCCCATTAACTGGGTCTAGTTGGTAAGATGTACCGAACACCTTGGTGCCGTTGGGAACTATTGTTCCAGGGACAATAGGACCAAGAAGTTTCGCACACTCATGAAATCTAAGGCCTTCCAGACCGCATCCAATAGTGTCGAGAAATACCAATCGAGCTGTATCAAACTAATTTTGGCAGGTCAGTTTTACTCAGATAGGTCAGAGACCGTCGGTCTCACAGCAAGCTCAGACTTTATTTCCTTATTATGAACATAGTTGGCAATTTCGGTGATCTCTGGATCGTAGAGCTGTGCCTTCTGAATTGGAGGGATGTTGGCTTGCCGGGCGGACATGATGGAAAAGCTCTTGGGAGATTTGACTGCGGGTATCAACTGCTTTGATGAGCGGACTGCAGTGGGCGCTTGTGGGGTAAGAAATGGTAATTTTGGAGCCAGACGTAATCCTGCATTAATGACGCGTGCGTTACGGTGGGTGTACATTTTAAGAATAGAAGAGAAATTTGTGACGGTCTTTACCATGAACCTTGTCAGAGGCGTTACAACGATTGGAATATATTGTTAGTGTCGTATGAAATGCTCTATAGTAGGTAGCTAAGTAAGTTGATAATATGCGTGATATCCGTCTAATAATCGATAACCGGCTCACTTTTTTTGTGCTGAGGCACTAATGGCCCACGCGCTAACTCGATGTCCCGACCTACAGATAAGATTGTAGTGATACATTAGATGAGGCCGCCCAGCAGATAGCATCCTGTGCGAAGCTATCGATGAAATCTCTAATGACTGGGTGTAAGGATGATACATGCTAATACTTAGAGGGAGAAGATGAATTCTCACTTTCCAGTGGTGCCGGTGTAATCGCTCAGTATGCTCTGCAGATCTGGGATAACCAAGAAGAATCGCACCCGAATCAAAGTCAAAATCAATCTCAAGCATGTCTTCGTTTGACGACTTCTCGACAATGCCCCTCTTATCATTCTCATCTGAGTCCTCAACCTCTTTCTAACCATGCATCATCTCGCCTCAACGGCCAATGAAGAAGTTGAACCAGTTGCATACAGGAGCTTGCTCCATTAATTTCCAGCCATCTCCCACTACAAATTTATGACGCTACGTAGACCTGCAAGGAGGAAATCAAGTCGAAAGATACAAAGCCTGGGTCTTGGCTTGTGGGGGACTGCTGCTCTAATGGGACAAACAACTTGAGGGGGAACAGGTTTCTGAATACTATGCTGGAACTGACATTTTTGAGGGGGTTTCAAGCTGGACGTTTGTGGGCGTGAAGTCCAAGGTTTCGGTGAATTTGCCCGGAGAACTTCTATTATTTATCATTAGTTCATCTTTGAATTTGATTTCATTTAGCCCGATTTGGCGGCCTATGGGCCCATACAGGTGTCTACGAACTCTAATATTTACATAGGAGGAAACCTTGCAGTAAAAACCCCCTTTGCTGTCTGATTGAACTCTACGCCATTATAGTCTTACCTCTAGGATGTGCACTCACACTATTGTTGCCAGTGTGGATTCCGTCCCTGTCCTGTGTTTCCATTTTCCTCTCTTCGCCTGATTAGCACCTCGATTTCTCCGGTCATCCGACACTGCTCTAGCCATCCTTCCTTTTGAATCCACTGTGTAATTCTAGTCATATCTTTGACGTTATTTACCATAGCTTGGAAAGATCGAGTTGTCGATTTTCGTAGCAACTCACCTCTTCCCTTTGCCCATCTTGGACAAGACATCACCATATGCTTTATATTTTGGGACGGATATCCACATTAGCTGCACGGTTTTCCTACTCCTGGCTCGTTCCTTCGGTATATGTAAGCATTGAGCCCAATGTGCTCGCTTCTTAATTGTATGGCAATACTGCTCTGGGCCCTGCTAAGGTTTTGGTGGATTTGGATAGGTGACTCTCTATAGTTCATCATAAGTCTACCTGTTTTCTTGTAATTGGTTCGTTTTATTTTTCTTTCTCAGTCTATGACTATGTAGGACATGCAGGTCCTCACTGCCTACAGGCCAAGGATACCTATGCCAGTAGTATATCCCCTCCTATACCTCCCATACAGCTTCCCTCAAACAGTACCACCCCTCACAAGTCCTCATTCGATCATACACTTAGAGGAGCCCTTTGCCCTTCATTATCTCCCCTCTCCAGCCAACGAAACCATGGCCATTTGCAGGTGTATGGCAGCCGGGAAAAATCGCAAAAACCACTGGGCGCGGGGCTCTTCTAATTCCGACATTAGGACTAAGTCCGAAGAAATAGTGACCCTTCTGAAGCGTCCTAAGAGGACGGCCGGCTGGGCGCTGCAGACTTGTGTGTACCTCGGAAATTCACCCTCTGCATTTCTACCCTCTTTCTAACTCTTTCTAACTCTTTCCCAAAGTTCGTGCTGGAATGTCAGAAAAGTCTTGATAAAGCGTGATTGCTGTATAGTAGCTTGGCCCAACTTCTTTTGTACCATCCAGGGCGCTGGCGAGGGCCGTTGACTCATCTACAAAAGAAGCCCTCCTGGCTAATTAGCCGAAATCTTAGTCTTGGCGCCCACAAACCTTCAATGATTGGAGCTTCTGTAAAATTTCGGCTCAAGTACTCTTCCGAGACCTGTTCCCCCTTCCGCTCCACTTCACCGTCGCCTGTCCCTCCTCAAGATGTATAACCCCATTAAAGCAACAATCCCACATAAACCGTGACCCGAGCTTCGTATATTATGAATTAATTTCCTCCATGAGGATTTAAATAGTGTCATTAATTCGTAGTGGGAGATTGCCAATTTTTGATACGACAAATTCTCATTTGCAAAAGCTGCGAATACTTTATCAGTGTTTGAGGCGAGCTTATTTGCGGTATAATTAAGTTGATGGGCTCGCGTGAGACAGATAGGTCCGACAATGATGAGAAGTGATCAATTTTAGATATGCCTGAGATTGCTTTCGATTTTGACTCGGATGCGATTCTTATTGGCTATCCCAAATACGCAGAGCGTACTGAGCGATTACACCAGCAAAGCTAGAGGGTTAAGAATACGTCTTTGGCAGCTTTCATATTCTGGAACTCAGTAGTGACTGTAATAAAAAACGAATTTTATCCAAGTCCTTTCTCCTCTCCATCTCCCCTTTTTTCTCTACTCCAAGCGCCTCGCTAATGAGCTAAGTCAGATCCTTGTCAGTGTCCTAACGACAACCTGAATACCTCAATTACATAGAACAATTCATACTGCCCAAATACGATCCTTTGACCGACAGAATGTGAATTTGCTGTTCACAGCAACATGGACGAAATCTGGTTGAAGTCGTCCATGAAAGGGGGATTTCCGAAAGTTTTGTACTATGAGTCACATGTGTCCATTCCTTTAGTGCTGTGATTGTGAATCACGTGCAAATGTGTTAGCGCGCTGGCATTCTTTCTTTACTCTTGTGTCAATATGAAATAATAATTAGCAAGCACTTGTAATTCACGAGATTATTATATAAGTTCCTCTTCCTCACGGTGAATCTCTTCATTATATTTAGTACTGATATGAGCACGATATTCTTAAGTCAATTTCTTCTTTGGTTCCTGAAGTTTTGCACCAACCTCATTGAGCGATATTTCCGACATAATTTACGTGCCAGGCCCGCCCTAATCAGATAAAATCCCGTGTTTTGTGTTCATTGTTCTACTTGAATCTCTAGCAAATTGAACTTCTCCGGATCCAGGCCACGCCTTGTACATTACCTCTATCCTCTTTTGTCCCGAAAAAAGGTCTCAGATGTATTTCCTGTGATGCAGAGCTATGAGGCTCAATTTGCATCCGCATAATGCCGCCATTATTTCTGTGGAATCCTTTGACATAAAATTAAAAAAGAGGCCTGAACCAGAGGCGCATGACTTGCGTGCATCTATCATATGTCCCTTTCACGCTACAACAGGGCGAGTCTGATCCAACCCATCGCGGCTGTATCAGGTGCTAGGTATGCTTCGCAAACTCATCGGATGGCTCATCTATGACTAGGGAGTTGGTGAAGAGCTAGAACTCTTCCCTACCGTCTAATCTGATCGTGGTTAGCTTCATGAGAATGTTGCTAGAGGGCCGGGCTGATAGAAGAAAACGGTACTGGGTGCGAAAGCGATAGGAAGTCAAATAAGTGATGATTATTTTATTACTTAGTCTCGCCTCAACAGACTCTACAGTGAGAGCTGGAGGTTTATAGGTGATAACGCCCACGGGTGTTGAATTGTACCCCTTTGTTGATTGATAGACTTAACGCAATAATTCAAAATTATTAGAATCCTACCTTGTTGCGCCCGTGATTCTTTGCTATCCTGGTTTTATCTTAGGCCTAATGACTAAAAGAATTGAAGTTGATTCGATCTCTTCTGAACAAGATTTCTTCACGACTCGTACTTAGATTCCCTCTTACTCTCATTATTCCCACCCACTTTGATAATTTCACACATTGTAACTCGTGCATGAAATGGAAGAAAAGATTGCGATGACTGGACTAAAGCTGCAGTCAAATTTCGGATTTTTAAAGCACCCACCCATGCCTGTAATCTTTTATCTTTATAAAACTCGCATCTAAATGTTCGATAATATTCAATCCATGTCACTCAACACTCTCCCTAAACGGCGCATCCCCCAGGTCAAATACATTAGATAACCTCAGGACTCATCGAGCGCCACCGACGCTTCGACAGAATAGCTGATCACCCATCAGTGGCCTACGAGTAAAGATCTGATTTGCAACAATGGTCTGCCTTCTCGCATTTCTTTTGTACACGGGAACAGAATTACAACAAAAGGATCGATTTGTCATCACGTCCTTCGAAAAAAATCAACCGTCTTACCAGAGCTATGAAGTTAACTATCAAAAACTATTTCCGGAGCCTGACAAAATCTCTGGAATTCACAGCACTTTGGTTGAAATTGACGGGCCCGGTACTTACTTAACGGTTTACTGCTCCAACAAAATGTCAACCAATGATTTAGAGATGTTTATTAGTAGAGGCTTGACCAAGACGCAGTTCGGCCTTGATATGGGATTTAGCAATGAATTGATTGTGGAACAAAATTGCTTCAACTACGTGTACAACCTTTATTTTAAAAGAGCAAAGAGAGCTATAAGTTTGGGACTTGATGAGATTCAAGCACCAGAACCTGATTTACTCCCTGTCTCATGGCTCATTCAGCCGGATCAGTGTACGAAAAGGGTCTTAATAAGTTTAGCCTATCAGCGGAGTCTTCTATGTGCTGATGGGTTTGGATTCTGGACGACGTTTCGTGATGAAGAATTACCAACCATAAAATTTGATGAGCCAGTGGAAATAGCAGCTACAGTGCTAGAAGGTCAAATGATCATGAGAAAAACCATGGGGATGCAGGAAACAGCATTAGGGTGGAATCAGGGTAAACTGCAAATATTTTCGCGGGAAATGGGGAGTTTCTGGAACCAGGGACCCTCTGTTTTTGAGAAACCATCTTCAGGATGGATCATATCCGAATTTGTTAGGAATAGTAATGCGCAAGTAAAGAATTTTATGAAAAGATTCGACGCACGATATCAAAATAAAGAGCATACGTCTGAATGTCTTGGGTTCCGGAAGACAGTTTCCCTCGGCATTGACGCCTGCCAAGAGTTGAGAAACAAAAATCTGCGTGTAAAATTGACTAAACTTAGTCCCTCAACGGCGGACGGCTATTTGGATGGAGTCAAATTTCATAGACTGAAAGGAATACATTAGAATTAAAGTTCCTATTGGGTCTATGATCATGAAAGACTTTTTATGGGTTATCTGGCGGAATGGCTAAAGTAATTTATCGGTGGAACACTGAAGCTACATCTTGAAAATACGGAAGATGCCGAGACAGTAGAATTCTTTTACTTTCATCTTTTGCTAGAGATAGGATGATTTAAGAGGGTCTATTTGTTCTAAATAAATGGATCCTCTATCCTACTCTCTTTGGGACAATGTCAATTTTACTTGTATCAGACTTTGTTTGCGTGCAAAGCTAACCAGTATGGCATGTAACCAAAGATAGAGTACTGAATGGATGACTCTGTTCAATAACTGAGGTCCCATGACTCATATTTCATTTGCAAGTAGCTCTGCAATATTATGGGGACCTTTTTTCTTCCCCGAGTCAGTCCAAATCTGTAGATAATAAACAAGGGAAGATTCTAAAAAACCCAGGGTATCAAGACATTTCTGCATCATCCATTGACTTTTCTCCGCGCGAGACGTGGACTGAGGCATTTCCTTCCCTAGTTGGGTAGGTTCCCAGGCTACTCAAACTATAACGGAGATGACTACGAGGGGGCGGACCACAGTAACTTGCATCGTTCGTCTATTTTTATGGTGTCACCTGTTTTCTACAATCGAAGGCTTGGCGTACAATGCTCAATTTTTAAAACTCAGCCATAATTCAGATTTCACACCCATTGAGATTGTATCTATCGTCTGCGTCATCTTGTCCACTTGTCCCGATCTCTCGCGTCTATTCCTAGTGCTTGCCTCCTCAATTTGTGCGCCACGGTTTGTTTCCTCGCACGGGTATAATCATCTGCGTGAGCGTATTATTGGAGGTTATCAAAGGCCAGAGACTGGTTCGAAGACAGGCGTGGACATTGAAAGGAGAATGTACAAGGTCCTACTTGAAAACTTGACGAGACGATGGTGGGAATCCACCTCGTTGGGAGAGAAAGATTGGTCTGGTCAAGTATCTTGAATTGCTGCCCCGTGGGCCGTCTTCTATGGTGCTGCGAAATTTGACTGAACTTGGCCCTGGGAAAATTTTTCACTCTCAGATTCGTCGAAGAAATCACGTACTGGTGTTCAATCTTGCCTTACGAGCACTGCCATGTCAAGGATGAAAGAGTCACGGCAGTATTTCAAAGCGCTTTCGGGTAGGTCTTTGAAGGATCTTGTCGCATGCGTCATCCTTGTGTTAAGTATGCCAAAAGAAGGAGCAAGAATGTGGCATGAATAATTCTAGAAGCCCAAAGAGCCTTTGTCACAGGACTCCAAATGGCTACTTCAGTGGATAAGAGAATTGGAGTGGTCAAAATGAGCTGTCAAAAATATGAAAGCTTCTTTGAAATTGCGCTGGACCAGAGGATGGTATAATAGAAAAAAATACTGTGTATCTGGTCTTCCCAATATTTTTTCTCTCCTAAATTGCACTTATTGTTGTGTGCAGCACACGATGGCTTAACCCCACTGAGAATGTGGCGATTTTGATAGTGGCAACATCGAGCGAGACTGAGACTGCCGCCCAACAACGGTTCGACGCTACTCTTAGGTGGCCCGCTTAAATACTTTATCTATCGACCCAGACGATCTTGTGAAGCTTATTATCTAGATCTTAAATTCAGCAGCCGCAAGATTTATGAAATATTGGTAGTGAATCTGTATACAAAAGCATCTAACGAGTTCCTAAGGCTTAGATTGGGCCTAGACAGCGGTCAAATCTTCGGCACTAACCTTGCCAATTTGACAAGAAAGGTAATAAAGCCATTGAGTAAGCTTTGATACTTGGAATCTGTGTTTCCTTGCCAATTTGGCCCATGATGTTAATGGATGTACTGAAGAGAGAAACCAGAACACCACAAGCACGCCTCCAATAAAGGAAGTACCACTTCGTATTCGAGACCCGCTTCAATTAATGGACCTAAAATTTGATCTTCACCTTTCAGCCCTGGTGACTCTAGAGGGATACCGTTGCCACCACTTTGAGCTATGAACTCGTGGCAGATGCTTATTCACGATTCTAGATCCAAAAGGATACTATGACTTATGTTTAGAGCGCAAATACCGCCACGGCCCCAACCTAGGCTCCGCGGGATAAACAAAATAGATGGAGCTCAGGCAACTGAGTAGTAATTAAATGTACCGCTTTCCGATTATCTTTGCGCCTATAGTGACGATCCTGAACTATCCATATCCACAGTATCCTGGATCTCTACGACACGTGCAGGTGGTGTATCTACGAAAGTTGAACTAATTGGCTTCGGAAGATTCGCGCGTGCTGAGGTATACGATGCGGAAATATATGGAGTCACGGTATTCTTGAAAGTGATCACGACCAGGAAATATATTAACGACGTAAATTTATATTCAATACTACCAATAGTCTGCGGCATTCCAGACACTCTTTGTGGGCAGTACTATGTCATCATCCTAGCGCGTCTATAGGCTGTGGGAGATGATTTATTCATTTATAACCATTTAACGGCAAGAAGGCACACAAGATAACCCCGGCCTCTAAGTCCTCTGGAGAACTTCTGGCGTTCCTGCACGGCTTATTGCCGTCAGACATCTCTATTGTCAAATGAAGTCTAGTTAAATCTCCACAGACAACATAGTATTGTGTTGCTACTTGCTGCCGTTAAGCCTATTACTTTTGCGCTTCGAATGATTTCGCAACTATTCCGAGTTTTTTTAACCGAGTGAAAATCAATCAATAATACGTAATAGAAGGTACAAATAAAAAGCAAGAGAATCAAATAGAAAAATCGGAAGTAGAATTCTCACGTTATTTTTGGCCAATCATCTGTATTTGTGGAATTATGGAGTACAGAGATAAGTCAGGTGATGGTTAATGGTAGTTATTGATGGAGGGTTTTTTTTATATTTTTTATATTAAAGTCCTAAGCTAAAGCTCTAGGTCCACTATCGGTACAAGACTGGTGGAGCCGGCGGGGATCACTGCTTACAGGCCTAACTCATTCCAACCGCGTGACCCGCTACAGAAAAAGTAGCAGGTAAATTATAACTCAGAAACTGTAATCAAAAACAAAAATCAAAACTAAAAGCCAAAGACTGAAATCAAATTTACAAGATTTTTCATGTGGTCCGGATCCCGCGCTTCTCGCCCGTTCCCTTTCCTGCCACATCTTCCAATTGACAAATTTACTCAATCTCCGCTGAGAGCAAGAGATGAGATAGCAGGCACTTTTTATCCAGCCGGTATCCTACTATTGGTTAGTATATGCCCCAAAAGGGACATCGTCGAGGTTGCTGTGTCCTCAAACTTCTTCTTCAAATTCCAGAACTCCGAAACCTGTAGCCTCGGCCATCGAGACGTCCTTTGCAGCGGCGGTGATTGCCTCTTCGGCCTTCTTTGCTATTGCTCGTGCTCGTGCCACCTTCGCGAACTCCCCTTGTTCGATGAGGCGGATTCACGCGAGCTGCTCTTTGGTCACCGGTCCAGACTTTCTGGGTCTGACTTTGCAGTCCCGAGAATCCGATCAGTGGGGTCCCCCACAGTTGCGACACTTTGTGAGGGCCTTGCACTCGGCTTCCGAGGGCATGTTTGGTCCGCAGTTCCAGCACGCTGGGGTGCGGGAGCAACCATCAGTGGCGTGGAAGCCCAAACAGCGTTTGCACTGTTCAATTTGGCGACGAGGCTGGATCTTTGTAGCCGTTCCGGACTCGTCGAGAATTCGGAAGCCCGCACGAGGGGCGGAGTCCCGGTTGAAAAGGGCATACCAGTTTCTGTATGGCGCTCCAGGACGACATGTCCCGTGCGGTCGCACCTGGCATGGACGTCGTTGTGTTTTGCGGTAAATCTCCAGTGAGATACTACCGGCATCGACCGTCTCAATACGGTTGATTAATTTTTTGGTCGCTGGAACATTCGCGATCCGAAAGGCGACAAGGTTGGGGGCTTCCTCGATTTTGGCATTGAAGTCCGACAACTTCGGTGAGGCATCTAAGAGCTCTTCCCTTTCATTTTCATCCGCTGTCAGAATCGGAAATCCGGTTCTGACACGGTGTATAGAGCTTTTTTCACTCAAGGTGTACAGTAGCCTACTACATAATTGATGCCTTATGCCGTCAGGCGAAAGCTGGCGCCATGGGTGGTCGCTCTCTAAGCGAAGGAACAGTCATTTGTCGACTTTAGCCTTTGGAGCTTCTTTATTTTGGGCTTTTGCCGCAGGTCGCGGAACAGCCTTAACAGTAGGGACTGCTTTTTGTGACAGTCCGTTTCTGGCCACCGTGGCCCAGGTGCTTTTCATAGGCAGCGCTGGGACGGCGGAAATCGTTGTGCTCCTGACGTCGGGAGCCCTTGGGATCGGGTTCGCCGGGCGAGGAGGGAGGACGGGTGGCGTGAAGGCCGGGCCCGTGACCATGTATTGCGCGATGGCTGCGCGTAGGTAGACTCTCATCGAGTCTACAAATTGTCTGTTTGACCCGTTGGTCAAAGGAAGAAGGGTGACTTCGACGCCAGAGATGGCGGCGGAGCAAAGGGCCAGATTTGCCGCTGTTTCGGTGGCACGTCGTTGCTCGGCTTCGATAATGGGTCGAAGTTCCGGGGGGCAATCTGCTTTCGTGGCAGCTTTGGGCTGCGACGTTGATTTTGACGCTGCTTTGGGTGCAGCGTTCTCCGACAGTTTTGGCGCGGTCGGGGGAGAATTTGACGATTCTCCAATCCCGTGGGGGACCGGAGGATGGTTGAGGAATTTCCTCAATAATTTCGACTGACCCGATCATGTCAGTATCGGGCTCAGTGACGGTGGGGAGGGCTTTTTCCTTCCCTTTCATTGAGACCTTACTCATCTCCGCGCATTTCGGAGACCGGACAAGGCCAGGTAATTGTTCAAGAGCCCTCGGGTGGACACTCGTGTTGTCCAACTTGACGTTTGGGTACTTTTTGCGAACTGGAGGCATGGTGAAAATGCCTGAGCTCGATCACAATTCAGAGATAGATGCGACGAGGTCGAGAAGGGAGGAAAGAGGGAAAAAATGAATTTTCGAATTTTCGAATTTCTCGAATTGATGAAGGGTTTGGTTGTTGAGTTTCGCATTATTTCTGTGTTGGGATACACTTTGTCGATCCTACTAGGCTCGACGATAAGTAGTCCCGACCAACTTGTGTTTGGCAAACGGAGATTGCGTTTACCCCGTGTTAGCGTTATGTACTGCTGTTAATAGGAGATCCCGCACGGGCTATCTATTGGGATTAAAAGGAGTCTGGTACCTGTGTTAATTGTTATTAATTTGTTAGAATGTAGAATAATTGGGGCTATCAAGTAGGCCAGGTTGTTGTTACGCACGTGACTACAAATTCTGTACTTAGTTTCACTCCGGTAGTTACTTGAATCGATGGGCTCTACAACCTCAATGACTGAGGGGTCATTATTTTCTTAATATAATTCATTTTATTGTCCTATCTGAGTCTATGACTATGTAGGACATGCAGGTCCTCACTGCCTACAGGCCAAGGATACCTATGCCAGTAGTATATCCCCTCCTATACCTCCCATACAGCTCCCCTCAAACAGTACCACCCCTCACAAGTCCTCATTCGATCATACACTTAGAGGAGCCCTTTGCCCTTCATTATCTCCCCTCTCCAGCCAACGAAACCATGGCCATTTGCAGGTGTATGGTAGCCGGGAAAAATCGCAAAAACCACTGGGCGCGGGGCTCTTCTAATTCCGACATTAGGACTAAGTCCGAAGACATAGTGACCCTTCTGAAGCGTCCGAAGAGGACGGCCGGCTGGGCGCTGCAGACTTGTGTGTACCTCGGAAATTCACCCTCTACATTTCTAGCCTCTTTCTAACTCTTTCCCGAAGGTCGTGTTGAAATGTGAGAAACTTCTTGTCAGAGCGTGATTACTGTATAGTAGCTTGGCCCAACTTCTTTTGTACCATCCAGGGCGCTGGCGAGGGCCGTTGACTCATCTACAAAAGAAGCCCTCCTGGCTAATTAGCCGAAATCTTAGTCTTGGCGCCCACAAACCTTCAATGATTGAAGCTTCTGTAAAATGTCAGTCCCAGCATGCTCTTCAGAGACCTGTTCCCCTCTCGCTCCAAATCTCAGCCCCCTATCCCCCCTCAAGTTGGTTGTCCCATTAGAGCAGCAGTCCCCCATAAGCCACGACCCAGGCTTTTTATTTTTCGACTTGATTTTCTCCTTGCGGGTATAAATATCGTCGTAAATATGTAGTGAGAGATGGCTGAAAATTAATGGTGCCAGCTCCTGTATGCAATTGGAGCAACTTCTTTGTTGATAGTTGAGGCGAGACGATGCGTGGTTAGAAAGAGGTTGAGGACTCAGATGAGAATGATAATAGGGGCATTGTCGAGAAGTCGTCATACGAAGACATGCTTGAGATTGATAATGACTTTGATTCGGATGCGATTCTTCTTGGTTATCCCAGATATGCAGAGCATAATGAACGATTACACCGGCACCACTGGAAGGTGAAGGGTTCGTCTTTGCTGGCCGGTAACTGAGTTTAGAAGTGTAGCCGAATTGACATCTTTTTATCCTTCATGATTGAATAAGCTTTCATCTACTAACAAGTCCACGAACTAAGTGGTGGGTTATACATTTCAATACGTAAGGCTTTACGTGTTTGCTTTAGTTTCCGAAGGCTCGAGCTCCACTAGTTGTACTAAATGTTCACTTAATGTCACCCTTCATCCAGCGGGAGGGTCTTGGTCGAGGTTTGTGGGAGCCCGCTAGATTCCTGTAGATAAAAGAGCGTCTTAGAGCGTTCTCCTCGTCATATTAGGGGGACTATTCTCAACACCTGTCAGTGGTGTCCCCTGCGAACTCCCAGCTTTCACTGTAGAGTCTGCAGAGCCGAGATTGAGTAACAAAGTCCTCACTTCGAAGAGGATTCCCAATCGCTTTCGCGGTCTGTATCGTCTTCATCTCTCAACACATTCCCCTATCACCATGATCATGAAGATAACCACGATTCGATCAGATGGTTGGGTGCCAGCCCTTCTCATCACCAACCCTTGATCATGATGGAGAAGCAATCCGGTGAGTTTCTGGAGAGTACCCAGCACCCGGTAAGACGATTTGGATTGGATAAATTTGGCCCCTAGTGTTACAAGGATGGTAGATATAGATGAATATGCGCACCTCTTATTGTCCCGGTGCCTAGGCCTCGCCAGGCTGGGGCTGCAGGTTTTTTGAGACTTTTTCCCGCGCACGCAGTTTCCATTGCTAACTTTTTTGTTCTTGTATTTCTTTTTTTTGCTAAAAGGTTCCGTAGAAAAGGTAGCCAAATTCCACGGGTAAACACTGAACTGAATCGCTATCCATTACGGACAATGCATTGATGATCTTTCAAGGAAAATAAGAAGCAATGAGCACTGTAAAAGGTGTGATCTGGGTCAGAGAGGAACCCAATGTGCTAGATAGTCATGGACTCAAGTAGTACAATAAAAAATCACATCACATCACAAAATAGATCTGCATTTTCGTGATTGAATTGACGGTAGTGGGCTGCAAAGCCATCATGTGCTGATCGTGCTGCTAAAAGCAGACAAAAAGTTCTCCATTGTGTGAGATGATTGGAGAAACAATAGCACCGCTAGAGGTCTGATGGATCCAATGACATGAAAATTTTTGCTGAGCAAAAGGGTCGATAGGATTCAATCAGGAGAGTTTGATCTGGCTGACATCGTGAGCGATACATAAGATCAAATGGGCCTCGCTATAGTAGGCGCTAAGCCTGTAAACTGGCAAGGCCAATGGCAAAATACTGATGAGACCTTGTGTCATGGTAAATGAAGTTAGATCGACGAGGTCAGATCTGGTGGAACAGATTGTCTACGAAGGGGCAACGGAACTCCCACAAGGATTCCATTAAGCTGTGTACAGATTGAGTCCCGTGTTAATGTCATAAAGTCACATGACACAAATATACTTCTAATTTCTTAACACTTAGAGTGCTCAAAAAGGCAAATAGACCACAACCTCCGGATTCGGATAAAAAAACTGGTAGATCTAGCGCTTCAAATTACATATGTTCGCCCGATCACAAATTGAACAATAAATGATGACATAGCAATACATTACTATCGCTTTAATTACACCACAATTACGTTCCACTGCGAGTATTATAGAGAAAATCTATAGTTCACCTCTACTACGGAGAAAGTGTCTCCGACGTGGCGACTACAGAGTGGGAAACGGCCGGTACCATTACTAAAAAGTTTTCTCATAGAAGGCGGATGAAATTTATTCATCGCGTAAGGCTAGATGAGTGGGCTTTACGCAGTAGCCCTGACTTCTGGCTTGTGGGCGGGCTGCCAAGAAATTGATATAGAATGGGTAGATAAATGAAATCCAAAGATTGAGCACATGTTGACCAATGAGAGATACTGCAGAGTAGGAGGTTTTGTAAAGCAGAGTGCGAGAACTTTTTCTTTGATTAACACGAGATGTTGTATTCAATTTTATCAGGCTTATGGACATGTATTGGTATAGAACAGTTTATTCAGAGAGGCAAAGACATATTGAGTTCTTCACTGTAATCAACCTGATTCATCTTGCCATCACTCGTGCTTCAGCCCTGCTGGGAATACCATGAATGTGATTCACTCGGTAATTTAGAAAAATAAGCATCCGCAATATTTCACCTTATTAATGAGAAACTTTCATTCCTCACTATCTACAAGAAAATATTGGGATAAAAATAGTTGAATTTATTTAAATTTATTAGTCTCTTTCATATAGAAACTAGAAATCCTCTATAGTCATAGACTCAGATAGGACTGTTACAACATCTATTCTAATCTAACGAGATACTAGCGAAGGAATGTTCGATAATTCTTTTAATTGAAACATGACTTCATAATGCTGCACGTGAGAGCTGCAACGATGCACTTAGTTTTTATGGATACGAGTATGAAATTTTCTGCCGATAGACGAGCAGGGTTCAAGTTATTCGAGACTCCAGCAGGGAGACGGTCACAGAAAGTGTACCACTGCACCACTGCACCATAGGACCCTGTACCTGAGGCGCGCCCGATCTACTAAACGGGTAGTGGTACTGCAAATTTAATCCATGCACTTTATCTTTAGCTCCTCGGGCTCATAGTATATTAGTTTCTCGGCATCTGTCATAGTCATGTAGCTGTCATAATCTGCATACTCTCGTCGACTCTCACATCAAAAAGTTTCTCAAACAACACGAGTGATTCGTCCTGTGGCAGAGATGATTTCACCCTACGCTGCAGCACTACCTATCAGCTGGAAAAGCCAAGTTGCTTCTTGGTTTACCGAAGATTGTACATCATTTGATTACGCCGGTTACGTGGTGGGTGATGCAGAGAAAACAGCTACGCTTTACGGAACTACTAATGGGGTTCTCGCGGGCGTACCATTTTTTAACGAAATCTTCGCCCTCGCAGAGTGCACGGTAAAATGGCTTGTTGACGAAGGATCTGTTATACAAGTCGGAACTGAGGGAACAGTTGCACTCGCCTCGGTAACTGGACCAGTACGCAAGCTCCTTCTTGGCCAAAGAATCGCCATCAGCATGCTTAGTCGATGCTCGGCCATTGCGACAAAATCAAAGACAATGAGAGACTTATTAACTAACGCCGGATATAACGGAATTCTTGCCGGTACACGCAAAACTACACCCGGCTTTAGACTTGTGGAAAAGTACGGCATGATGATTGGAGGTGTCGACGGCCATCGTTATGATCTTTCTAGCATGATTATGATGAAAGATAACCACATTTGGGCGGGCAAAAAAATGAGTGATTCAATCAAAGCTGCCAAGGCAGCTGGTGGACATACTCTTAAAGTTGAAGTGGAAGTTGACAGTGAAGCAGCCGCTGACAGTGCCGCTGAAGCCGGCGCAGATGTGATCATGTTAGATAATTTTGACGCAGAAGGAGCAAAAGAAGCTGCGGAGAACATTAAAAAGAGATGGGGTGAGAAGTTGATAGTTGAATGTAGTGGTAGTATAACTGCAGATAACATCACTTCTTATGCTAGCAAAGGCAAGTTTCACCATTTCCAAAATACCCAGCTAACCATGATTTGCATAGATATTGATGTCATTTCTACGAGCTCAGTCCATCAGGGCGTTCAACTAGTATACTTTAGTATTAAACTCAATCACTGAATTTCTGACGGTTCGAGGTCTGCCGGCAAGAAAGACTTGCTTCAACCCTCATATTTAGGGTTTCATAAAACTTTTTTAATCACTAGTCTAGTGGCATCTACAAATCTTAGTGATTCAACTTGATTGAGTATGAGAATGATTCAGTTTTTAGACTGTAATAACTCTAGAGTTAAATCATAGTCTGGTCTCCAGGAGTATGATTATTTAAAATCTTCATCAGCCATTGGAAAATGATATAAAAAGCAGGCTATTGTGGAGCTTCGGTAATATAGAACCTACACCCTGAATAAATGAGGGCTACGAATGGATTCTCCCAACCTTTATCTATGATCGTTGACGTGTGTCTCGAGGAACGAAAGCCCGAATTAGTCCTATTAAATCAACATAGTCAATTCTTAGAGCCTAAAAGCAGAAGGCTAATCATATTCAGCCTTTGAAAACACAGGCTATCTTTTCCAAATTACATCAGCCGTCTCTATACCCTTGAGATAACGATAAAATGTTACGAGCAGCTGTCACAATCATCTAAAATCTAGGCTTATACGCCTCTCAGCCGGCATCAATCCTAATTGGCGAAGAACATGTAATTGCGTATGCAAAGTCCAATGTGCGACGCGACTCGGGTGTTTATACTCGGTAAGACCAATCTATTCAGTTTTCACGTTAGATAGAATATAAACATCATTTCTGACATGTGTATATGAGAAGCTGATGTACTGTCATTTTACATGAACTCAAATCATGATGATGGGTTAAAATTTTAGAATTAGTTGTGGAATTCACTGAAATTATCTTTTGGTGCGGTCCACTGGCGGTATTTATCCCGTAAGACCTAGTGTTTGACTTTCGGCTATCATAATTTCAAGGCAACAAGCAATCTACTATCTCGAAGGCATAAGATAACTATCCAGGCTCTTGGTCAAAATAATAGGAGCCCTTGTATTCGCCTCGATTTTAAACTCAATTTTCACATAATTTTCTTCCATCTTTTGAGCTTAAGATTATCAGATTCTGATTTGATAGTTTGCATATTTCAGACACAAACCCTGCATCTTGCACACACGATACCTATTCTCTCCATTAAATACGTAGTTTGAAGTACATGACAGTTAGACCATATAGGTATCACTTTTTGCGACTAATACTAAATAGCAAGTTCAAACAATTTATTACCACGGACTCATAATTATGACGTATCTCGTACCCATAGCTCTTCATATAATCTCTAATAGTCGGAAAAAATATACAATGTTCCATTGGCGATTAATATCTTATTTTTTTTCGTCTGATTTTAATTGCGTATGCAGCTATATAGTCATGACACAATATCAGAGTTATAGTACAGAATAAACAACTCAATTTCTATGTAGAGAATCCTGCCTCGAATTTTATTCGCAAGGACCACTGCGAAGTTATGGCGGCCTTTTCTTCACCCCAAGTCAACCCTCATCCGTGAATACCCACCCAGGGGAACGTCTCAAAAACCCTAAGCTATCCAGACATGCCTCCATCATCCATCAACTTTTATCCGCGCGAAATATGGTCTGAGGCGTCTCCTTCCCAAGTGGAGTAGGTGCCCAGGCTAATCAAACCATACCGGAGAATACCACAAGGAGGCGGACCACAACACCTTCCATCGTTTGCTTGTGTTTATAATGTCAGCTACACTCTCGCAAGCGAAGTCTTGGCGCGCACAAAGCCTAGTTCGTAAAACTCCTTGCCAAAATTCGGAATCTCACGCCCTTCGAGATTGTATCCTTCCTTTGCATCATCTAGTCAACTTGTCCTGTTGCCTTTCACGTCCATCCCAAAGAGCTATCTCCCAGATTTGTGCTCCACGCTTTGCTTCCTCCGTCGGGTATAAATATCGGTGTGGGCGTGTATTTGGTGGTCTACTGAGGCCAGAGAAAGTCGACGAGATGTGTGATCATTGGAATGAGAATGTACTAGGTCGTACTTGTGGACTTGATGAGACTTAGGTAGGAGTCAAACTCGTTAGGAGCGAAAAAAACGACGTGGTGGAGTATTTTGAATCATTGCCTCGTGGGCCAACTTCTTTGATATTGCGAAATTTGACAGAACTTGGCTCTGGGAGAATATTTCACTCCCAGGTTCGTAGAGGACAACGCGTTTGGGTGTTCAGTCTTGCCCTCCGGACCGTGCAGCTAGTAGATATCGTAGTGTGCGTCGCTCCACACGGGGGAAGAGTGTTGAGATGATGAGCACATACGGGTTGAATCTCTACCTTGGAAGGATGCTATATTTGTTCGTAGAATACGAACGTAGATATAGAAAAGACTTGTGTTAACTGAGGAAGGCCTGTATTCAGCTGACTTTTGCTTGCTCCTACTGCTATGAGATACATCTCATAATATACATGTCCTGGATAGCCATATCACAGTTCCTACACCATCCAGTACATTCCATTCCATTCTACTCCATACTTTTCGATCCCCTATCATTCCATTACAAATCTATGATGCCCTAATTATGGGTCGCTCTCAAGTCCATGTCCTCGGGCTTGCATGAAATATTGGCATGCACAAATCTGCACAGATCTGGGATCTTCTTGGCAGATTATAACAAAGAGAGCACTATTTTTGTTTCTTTTTTATTTAATATTGCGCCGGCTCAGTCTATATAAACTATCCGACGTGCTAACGCACCTTGCCAAGATCGATGTGTAATCCTTGGGCAAAGGCCCCCCCAGTCGTGCGCCCCAAACTGTTAGAGGAGGTCAAAAGCTCTTCCACTGAGAATTTTTGAATTTCGGAAAATTCTGGAAATTATATAACTATTTACAGGAAGTTTCATTTGTCATCTAAACCAATTTCCTAGCGATAGCCTGCAGCTATTAGTCGAATAGACAACATGTTAGTGTCGACATTGAATTTTTTCGAAGAAGCTAGTATCATGAAGCTATTCACTAAAGTCGGTTCCCCCATCAGGAGAGCCTAGAATCCAGGGAATTCCCGGCGTTGAATGTTCAGGTCCGCCACGGAGTCGAAGAAAGCCCTATTTGATTTTGATTTGATTTTGATTGAATTTAAAATCGTGCCATTCCACAGCTCGTAACTAATGTCATATGCTGGACGGCCCAGTCCCTACAGAACTACTCGATGCTCTAGCGCGCACTACAACACCTAGAAATTACAAAAGAGTCCGACCAGCTGTCCGCCAAGTTCATGATACGAGGGTCCAGAGGATGTATCGACTTCTGCCAGAGGCTGAACTACCTCCACCGCTCCGACCTCCGGTACCCCCTCAGCCAATTCCCTTCTGGACAAGCAAGAAAGATGCTACCAAGTTCATAAGAGAGTAGCTACCTACACTCCCACCCGACTGTCTCTGCGTTTACAGTGATGGTTCTGGGGCTTCAACCGACAGAGTGTTATGGGCCTTTGTAACTTTTATCAGCGGCACAGGCATAGCAATCGAGCAAAGCGGCTCAGGTAAAATCACCAATGCGGAGGTCTACGACGCAGAGGTTCATGGAGCTCTGGCTGCTCTTGAATCAATCACTGCCAGCAAGCGAGATCGAGGATGTAGCGCCATCTACATCCTGCTCGACAATTCTGCGGCTGTTCAGGCTTTACTAACGGGAACAGCGGGCTCATCATCTTGGCGGATCCAAACGTTCGTGAAAATAGCTGCGAGATCAGCCGCGCCTGTAAAAATAGGATGGATCCCGGGCCACGAAGGGCTGGCAGGAAATGAAATCGCCGATGAACTCGCTCGAAGAGAGCTTAACTCGCCGGAAAACTCACGGACGACACATGGTGTGATGACCCTCGCCTCATCTAGACGGAAAGCCCGCGAACTGGCCAGGCAGATGTTGACAGACTGGTGGTACTTGAATCGCCCCAACCACTAAGCCGACCTTGAACTCGAGACGCGCCGCAAGAAACCGCCAGAGCTAGGGCTAACTAGAGCGATCTTCGCACGCATGATCGCTGCCCGAACTGGACATGGGGACTTTTCGGCATATCATCGCCGCTTCAACCACACTGACGCCAAACTCTACTGCGAGTGCGGGAGGGAAAAATCAATTGGTCACCTTGTCCAGTGTCGAAAAGCACTGGCAACATGGTGGCTTAAAAGCGGAAAGCGTAGGGCGCCGGCTCTGGATATAATGTCCGGATCAAGTGGATGGCAGCTGTTTAGGGACTACGTGTAGGAGAGCGGGATTTACGCGGAGGCTAGTCGGGGGATGGCAGGGATACCTGTGACTTGAAGGTGATATATGGAAAGCCTGGGTGATTTGGCATGGAAAGACGGATAGGAATTGAGGCTCGGGCGCGTGGTGGCCGAGGCAGAATGACGGAAGAGAGATTGTCAAAGTTTTTCTTTTCTAATGCAGGATTTTGCGTGGAAGTTTTCCTTTGTTTTGTTTTCAATTCTGGTCTGCTGGACTCGTCATGATTCAACACATAGATGCGTTTCGGCATGGTTCCGGTCATTTAGCTGGGACGAGGCATTTGTACTTTACGGTAGTTAACCTGATCCGGCCCGACCCCATTCGTGCTCAAGTTCCAGTAGGAGTGCGACGGTAGTTAATTCACCTAGCAAGTTAATGAACAAATAAATCCCCCTTTTTCTAGAAATTCAAAAATTTATTTTTTCCCTCTTTACTCCCTTCTCGACCTCGTCACATCCATCTCTGAATTGTGATCGAGCTCAGGCATCCTCAACATGCCTCCAGTTCGAAAGAAGCGTGCCAACGCCAAGTTGGACAACACGAGAGTCCACCCGAGGGCTCTTGAACAATTACCTGGCCTTGTCCGGTCTCCGAAATGCGCGGAGATGAGTAAGGTCTCAATGAAAGGGAAGGAAAAAGCCCTCCCCACCGTCACTGAGCCCGATACTGACATGATCGGGTCAGTCGAAATTATTGAGGAAATTCCTCAACCATCCTCCGGTCCCCCACGGGATTGGAGAATCGTCAAATTCTCCCCCGACCGCGCCAAAACTATCGGAGAACGCTGCACCCAAAGCAGCGT